AGTGATAAAGTGATAAAGAATGATATAGTTAATTTGAAGATTTTACTATTATGGTGAGTGCTACTGTCTGGATTCAACATAGAACTTGGCACCGAAGTGCAGCAGTTCCAGTTGCCACGTTCCAAAGAGCAAACAAAGGTAGACAAGAAGATGAGTGAAGAGAATCAATAGAGAGTTTTGACAATTATAAGAGTGAGACAGAATGAGTAATGGTAGAAAGGAATATGAAAGATTACAGAGACTGAATACATCTGCGCCATTGACAACGATTTTGAGCCATGTCACCTATTGTCTCCAGCCATTGATTCTTGGACTCCCGAGGGCGGGCCCCAACCCGGAAGACTGCATCTCCCTACCTGACTCGGTTTATCTGTCAAGGATTTCATGGATTGATGAGGCCATGTTTTTGTTTGGCCACCACTTACTCTTTTCCAACCTGTACCTATATCAGCTAGTAATGCCCGTCGGGGGAGGCGATGGTTAGTCATGTGCAGCACGTGACCTAGCCATCTCAATCTATGTAACTTTATAGCCTCGTCGATTGATTTTCCCTCTTTGCCCAATACCCTACGCCTGACGTCAACATTACTTACCTTATTATGCCACCTAACGTGAGAAAGAGATCGTAAACATTTATGATCAAAAACAGTCAACCTTTTCATGTCTTCAACTCGTATTGGCCATGTTTCAGAGCCATAGAGAAGGACGGAGGGAACTGCTGAGCAGTACACACGTCCCTTGGAGTGCTACTGATAAGATTTGTCAGTACTGTATATAAAGAGAGACGTTCATCGGCATAAAACACATCAAATAGCTGGGAGATACATTTGATTTCAGAGAAGGCAAATGATACGGCGTTTTGAAGATACATGGGAGACTTGAAACGAACACAAAGAAACACAACATGAAGTCCATAAGTACCACACCACGAAAATCTGTGCAAATGGTGCGTTGAAGATAAAGTGTACGTATAATTTGGCTATATAGAGATACCAAATCTTCGTCTTCTGCCGTTTCGATTGTGACCTCGATTAGCTCAGTGGTAACGTCTCTGACTGCTGGCAGCACTGGGTGACGCGGGTTTGAATTTCACAAGGGACATGAGTTCCTTCAAGGCAGTTGCAGATACTCCTTGCTGACTGGTGAGTGCCAACTAGCATGAAACCTAAGTCAGACAAGGCTTACTGTTGATGTACATCTCTGTATATACTACTGATAAATCTCATCAGTAGCACCCGCCACACTATGGCATCAATAATTGTCTTGATTCTGATTAACTTCTCACTACCATCATCATCATCATAACATTGGGGTTTTTCGAGACATAATCAAGATCAGAAGAATCTGAAGTGTCCTAATAACTAAATATATGATCATTTGAGGAGGGAACTCTGCTGTCACTGCATCACAGGCTTTGAAAGCCATTTGTTGCTAACAGTCATCTTCACTGTATTTTCTCCCAGTCAACTCACTGGTAATTAAGTGGCTGATATTATCATATGTAGAAAACCAAAAGAAATGATTCAGTGAAGAGACTCTTTTCAACGAATTTATCATCAAGCTGTACAATCGTATATATGTGGTTTTTAAGAAGTTATATCCGGTGAGGGAATTGAATCATAGGTGTGAATGCATAAAATAATAATATTAGTAGTATGAAATGCAATTAAAACTAAAATGTTTGTGATTATAATTGTAGTTAAATGTCAAGTGGCAAAGCAAATTAATGCCATATATAGAATAATTCATAGGATGGATAGAACTTGAAAAAGGGTGTGCAACTATAAGATTAGTAGACAAATCGAATAAAATAAAAACGTTACGTAATATTGTGTGAAATTTAATAGCATAGAATTTAATGTTGTGGAAAGGAATTGATTTAGAATGACAAGTGGAACAAGTGAAATAATACCGGGGACAGTTAAAAGTGAGAGTAGTAAGAGTAACAATTGACGTAATAAGGAAGAGAATACAAATTGAATAGACAAAATGAAAAGATGAAAAATTGTTAGAGCCAAAATATGATTGGGGATTACCATACTTTAGCATAGAGGGATTAAGACCATGAAAGCTGGAGGGGTTGAACGAACTTTTTCTGTACACAGAGATCTAGCTTTTCTGTTTCGATAGCCAAAGCTTCAGCAATACAGATGAGTGGGGTACGTAGGGATTTGGGTAGATTACTCTTTGCCTTGTAGATGACTTTGAAGGCGGAGGCTATAGAGATAGGGTGATCATTATCGACCAGATGTTCAATGATCGCGCTTCTTATTGCTGCACTTCCACCTCTTCGTAACCACCATGCAGGATAGTGTTCTTGCACTCTCTTGTACAAAACTCGTGTCGAACGACCGATATCTCAGCTCCACACGAGCAGGTGAATTGATAAAGGCAGAGAGAGTTGGTGTACAGTTTCATCTTGTCCTTCAGGTTATTGAACAGTAATGGTCGACTAGTAAAGGCTATTGTCAGAGGTGCAGCATGGAATGTTCTTTTCGGGGACTGTGATATCCTTCGTTTCACGATATCGGAAGCTAAGTCCCCTTTGAATTCCAAGCTCATGTAAAGTATTTTCTTGGATACGCTTGATAAGTCACGTTTTTTAGGATTTCAATGTATATTCTTATCTATAAAACGTGGTGGAAATCCATTTTCTATTAGGATTTTCCTCAAGATGTATAACTCATCCTCCACAGTATCATATGTGCAGTTATTCTGATGATTATTATTATTGAAATGCATAAAACCATCATGTTGTTCATTGTTTCTCATGTTGTTTCTCATCCTATTTATTTTTGGGTACATCATGTGTGCACGTGTGTGTGTGTGTGTGAGGGTGTGTACTATTATTATTATCTATACAACACTAGGTGTATGATTATTTACGCCTTTTTGTAATATTTTTATATTATTTTGTTTTTTGCATATTTTGCAATCAGCAGATGACTTTGCATGTGTTTATCATTAAACTGAACTTTAAACCAGTTAAATCATTATTATTATTATCATATTACATTGACGACCAAAATTGGTCCGTATTATACCAGAAATGGATTGATGTATTTATCACCAAAGTCTGCTAGTGCATATTCCTTATGACTGTGTCTGTTTGTCTGTGTGTGTGTGTGTGAATGAATGTTGATGGGACGGGGAAGAGATTGTGTATCAATTGCCACTATTGTTATTGCTACCAGTAGTAATAATAGTAGTAACTCCGGTGGGTGCATACTGATGAAGAGTCCCAAACTGGGACGGAATAGCTGTCCAGTACTCCCAGCTGGTTTTCCAATAATTCTCTAACCGGTGTCAGCTCATGATGAAATCCTGTAACCAATCAATTAAATCCCTACAAACCAACACTTGAGTAATAGTAATAGCTGTATAATACTCAACAAACACTTGCTGTTCAAGGTAGTTGACAATGAACCACACCTATTATGTGAGGGCCAATGAGATATTACCTGGTCAGCTGAATCTCGGTAGGTGGGACGGGATTCAAGTCCTCTATACTGACCATTACTAACTTCTTGTGCTCTGAATGCAAGGAATCGATCTTTGCACCCTACTATATAGCTGTCCGAAACTTCCTTCCGACATGCACAGACACCAAAACGCTCCAAACACTGTAAAAAGACGATTATTCGTCGATAGATCTATGTGCTTCTACTCAATAATAATAATAATAATATCAGAAACTCAAAATTACCTCAACAGTGACGTTAGACATCTTTACAGTTCAGATAATTTTCTAAGTAGCAGACGATTACTGTGTGACAAATTTAGTTAGTAGCCGAAATTCAACCGTAAGAAGTTCCATTAGAACCGAGTAGAATATTCCTAAGAAGATGGGAGAGATCAAAAGTTCTGTTCACAAGAGTCAGACGCGCATGCTTCCCGTAGACAGTCCAAGATGAGAATAACCTTGATTCACTCAAACATACTCGCTTCGTAAACCAGCACATTATCAGTGTATCTCACAACCTGAGACAGGAAACATTAAGATTAGAAATTGAACAGGGACAGAGACAAATGAATAGTAGGGATCAAGTGAACATATAATATGCAAATGTCAGAACAATGATATACAGTATAGGAGAAGAGATACTTTTTAATGAACATTAGTCAGTAACTAGTGTAATGTGTGTGTGTCTAGTCCTATCTTTGGTGCATACTGAATTCTATCAGTCAGCCAAGTTTGTAATGTAACCACGTACCATGCTAGGTGGCTCACCATCACGGTGTACTGTGAATTGTTGACGTTAGATGGTTGGAGGCAATCGACAGGAATCCATGCGTGGACCTAGGTTTCTTGCTAATTGGCACTCACCAGTCAGCAGGGTAACCTCGATGGAATTCATATGCCTCCTGTCACCCAGTGCTGCGGTGAAAAACGTTACTAGTTACTAACTAGTTTCCAATGAAAGTATCCAATACAGTCGTACAGGAGCTCGATAGTGAGGCTGAATAGCTCAGTGGCTGGTAACGTCTCTGATTGCAGCACTCACTGGGTGACACGGGTTTGAATCTCAAAAGGCACGTGAGTTCCTCCGATATTTCAGGTACCCCTTGCTGACTGGTGAGTGCCAACTATCATGAAACGTAGTTGGACAGCTTTCTGTCTATTACCTTCAACCACCTTACACCAACAATAGGAGAAAAGAGGAGAATCACTACCAAGTTAGTTCAGAAATCCAAGTAAGTAGAAATCTTGTTATTCGATCTTTGAAGAGGGAATTTGCCAAACAATTATTTTTGTCACACCAGCGAGTCACTGGGTTGGAAGTCGAATGCATAGATCACTGAGCCACAGCTTTACAGTATATCTATTGGTGACAGTGATTCGGTGTTAGTGATTTATCAATTCTAAGTGATCCGAAATTTGTCATCATGTGACTGAAAGCGTGTTATAATTATACAAAGTGTAAATTATCCATGACCCAATGTTGTTCCATCACTTTTATATTGTTCTTCCTTTTTTGTTTGTTTCATTTTACTTACAGATGAAGAGGTGGAGTTACGAGATTTAGCCACAGTTCTAGTCAGTCATATAACACTTCGATTCGATGTCAATCATCACTATGTGAAGTGGTTGTGTAACAATGTTGCTTATGATATTGATGATGATGATGATGATAATTATAATAACAATAACGATAGTAATACTAATAGTAGTAACGATAATAATAACAATGATGGTACCCTCGATGAGGCTGTACTTGGTGGTGGTACCGTTAATGATGCTGATGATGACGCTAATAATAATAATAATAATGACAATAACATTAATGATAATAATATCGATCATCACAGCAGTATTAGTACCCTTGACGAAATCGTAGTTAGTGGTGGTACTACTACCGGCATTAACAATGATATTAATAATAATAACAATACCAAAGGTGAAGTGAACACACCGGAAGGATTATAACTCAATTGTTTTCAGTGTATGACAGATTCAAAACAGCACGTGGGACTGTTACGCAATAGCTGACCAGTAGATTTACATCACAATGACTGCAAATTGCGTGAATTATTCAGATGAAAAGAAACTATTATTTTTGATATTTGTAAATAACTTAGTACTGATATTTTTGTAAATAGAATGTATATATATATATATATATACATGTATTGTTTACGTCATAAATTGTTTTTTATTGTCGGCATGGTTAATTTCTTGCTCTAAAGATGTAAAAGTCGTTTTCATATTGTGGGCTGAGTCAGAGTTGATTGTAGTACCAGTTGTTGTGTGTGGTGAGAGCTGACTGCGAACAAGCCGAAATTGTAAACAACAATTTACGTCAGTGTTAGGTCCGGAATCAGGTTCATGAGGAAAACGATAACAAAGCTTAACCTTAAGGAACTCACCAACCAGTCACAGCAGACTTTGTTTGGGCGGATACGATTCGCCGATATATATGGCTTAACTTTCTGAGAAACGGCCACAAAGAGATGACAGATTAACTTTCAGTGAGAAAACAACCAGTCAGAAGACATTGTTTCTCTGCTAATAATAGCAAATAATAACGTACACAAAAATCTATAAATATCTGTTGATTTTCTCAATAAACGATCTGATGCCTGGCTCTTGTCTTCTGTCGTTGCAATGTAACATTTGCAAGTATGTTAAAATCGTTCTATGCATAATTTTCTTTAGGCTGTAGGAAGCTGATGAAAAGCCCACTAAATAAATGATACGACAAAATGCTTTTCTTGCTTTATTCGACCAATTTTAAATCACTTACTTATTCAGAGATGATGTCAAGCTAAGTTGTCAAATGTTAGTCAGTTGATTACATGTTAGCAGAATCTAAATATGACAAAATGTAAAGAATAACACAGCATCCCTCCTTTCTTCCTTCCTGTCTTCCTTTCATTCAGTAGATAAAATATTTCTACCGCGCCTTAATTGTGTCAAAGTCTTGTCATGTTCGCTTTCTAAGTACAGCAGTTTTTGCTAGAAGAAGTATGCACAACACATCAATCAGTCGTGATGCTTTTGGAGATTGTCAAATATGTCTTTTGTACAGCCTACTGCATACACAATTGTGAAACAAAATTTTAAATCAATTATTTTGCAATATTATGAACAATTTAAAGATTAATGGTGTAATAATTATAAAAAATTACTAATTACTGTTAAAAGACGAAGTTATTCGATAAAGTTAAACTGTCATAGCCAAAACCACAGTGACCTTGACCGACCAATTAGAATTCAGATGGAAAAAAGTCGCTTAATCGTTGAAAAAAACACCAAAAAAATATTGCAAACTTGATAATTGTAGCTTATGTTGTTGTAAGAATGTCTCCCAGTCAATACACAGACGATCTATAGAGAAATTGTACCATGCGCGATATACCCATTTATCCAGGCGACTGTAGGTCACGGTACTTTGGGATCGATTGATATTTCTGACACTATCCTCCAACCTACTCCCAACTTTAAACCTAAACCTAGTCTTAAACGCTATAACCCTGTCTAACAGTATAAATTTGCACAAAAAGTACCTAGTGAATCAGTAGGATACTGTATCTATCCTCTCTAAATCCAAAGAGGCAGGTATAATTTGATTTTGAGTGATATTTCATAGCATTCCCTGTATCTGATCGCTTCGTGAAGGTCAACTTTTGAACGATCTTGACTTTGGGGCTATGATACTTTAGCTTCGCCAGTTAATTTTATGGAATAAAATACAGTGACACTATAAAACTGAATTATATGGCATTCAATTTGGTGGATAAAGCCATACTTACTAGGTTCTTTTGAAGATAAAGCCCTCATTTCATCATGTGGACATGAATGTATTCTGTAAACCACACGGGATGAATTTTCATCACTTATAAACAGTTAGTGAAGTGGTATTGTAAAGATTGTGTGTGTCTGTAGTTCGGCGGTAGAACGCTGGCTAAATACGCACATGTGCAGGGATTCGATCCACAGTCGACGCATTCCTAAAACTCGCTAAGCTGGTAAAGAGGAAAGGTTGGGTGCGAGGCTAGCAACCCCATGCCTTAAAAATAAAACCACTGTTTAGATATGATAGAGATTTGTAGCTCAGGTGGATGATTTTGATGTTGTTGTGTTCTCTGAGCTGGATAGTTAATTTGCGAAGCTTTCATCACCCTACTGGGTGACATCTTCAGCGCATACTTCAATTTGAAGTGAGCTTTTAGATTTCTCCACGAGTTTATTAATCATCTATCCTGGCGACCTTGGACGTGATTGGTTGTTTTTGTGTGTTTTCACACCTTCTAGGTTACTTGTATTGTCACTCATTGTTTCTTTGGCTTGAACTTTGACCATTTGTGTGTGACGTTTCTTTCTTATCGGTTGATAAATTTTGTCTATCTCGATGTGTCTATTGATTGATGATTCACTGGAATGCCAAGCTTCTAAAAATTCTCTAGAATTCTTGTTGTTTCCTCTGTCTAGTATTTGAACGTTGTCCCAGTCGAACTGATGTCCTTGGTTGTCTGTATGTAGTGATATGAGGGAGTGGATATCATGTCTTTTGACAGCTAGCTTATGCTCGTGGATACGAAGACGAAGGGGACGTCCACTTTGGCCAATGTAGTGTTTTTCGCAGTTGATGCAATCTATTTTGTAGATGATGTTGGTTTTATCTTCCTTCGCTGTTGAGTCTTTTGGTTGACATAGAATTGAGTGAAGTGACTTTGTTGGTTTGTGTACGACGTCAATTCCTAAAGGTTTGAAGAGTCTTGTAGTGATTTCTGAGATGTCTTTTATATATGGTAAGGCGATTTTGTTTGTGCTTCCTTGGGGGCTTTTGGTTTGATAGGTTGGCTTGGAGGTATATGTCTTTTGATGAAATTCCTTGGATATCCATTCTTTTGGAAGACGTCCATGAGATATTTTTCTTCAATTTTCCTTGAGGTGGGAGTGCTGCAATGAGTCCTGGCTCTCTTGAATAGTGTTTGTATGCAATTCCTCTTGTGTGCTATTGGATTGTTGCTGTTGTAATTCAGGATTTGGTCTGTGTGAGTTGATTTTCTATAGACTTGAGTTTCTAATTCCCCTGTCGTTGTTCGCTTGACTAAGACGTCCAAAAATGGGATTTGGTTTTCTGATTCCTCTTCTCTGGTGAATTTGATGTCGTTGAAGACGTTGTTTATCAGGTTGTGAGCTTTATCTAACTCGTTTCTTTTGATAATTACAAATGTGTCGTCTACGTAGCGTATCCAAATCTTGGGTTTGATCTTTGGTAGAATTATGTTCTCGAGCCTTTGCATCACTGCTTCTGCAATCACACCTGATATTGGCGATCCCATGGGTGTTCCTTTGACTTTTTCATATATTTGGCCATTAAAGTGGAAGTACGTTGTTAGACATAGGTTTATGCAGTCCATACAGCTTGTGTGTTGCATTTTTGATTGTTGTGGGAGGTGTTCGTCGTTGCTGAGTAATTGTTCCATGGTCTCCTTTTCTAGTTTTTGTCCGATTGAGGTATATAATGCCGTGAGGTCGAAGGATATCATTATTTCTTGTTCATCTATTTGGATGCCTTTGATTTTCTATAGAAATTGGATAGCAGAGTTGATGGAGTGATCACAAGATTCCGTTAGGTGCTTTAGTTTTCTGTATAATTCTTTGGATAAATTGTATGTTGGAGTTCCTGGTAGTGATACAATTGGTCGTAACGGGATATTTGGCTTGTGTATTTTGGGTCTGCCGTAGAATCGGGGTAGGACTGGTCCACTGGATTTCATTCGCCATTGGTCTTGTTTTGTGATTTCTCCTGTTTTGGTAAGCTTGTTTAAGGTCCTTTGGATGCGGTTGTCCAGTGTTTGTATGGGATTTGTTGGGAGTTGTTGATACACATCCTCGTCTTTGAGTAGTTCTTCAGCTTTCTTGGTGTATTCTTCTCTGTCCATGATTACTGTTGTTCTTCCTTTGTCGGCTGGTAGAATGACGATGTCCTTCCTGTTTTTCAGCTTCTTGAGGGCCTTTAGTTCTTGAGAGTTGAGTTGTGTGTGTTGTTTTTTCTGTTTGACCATTGGTACAGTTGTTTAGCGTATCTCTTCCTGTGTTTCCTCCTTTAAGTTTGATGATTTTAGTAATGATTCAAGGGCAGCGAAGAAATCAGTTTTCGAGGCATCTCCGGTGTTGTAGTTTAATCCTTTCTGTAGTAGTTGTTGTTCCATTTTTGATAGTGGTTGTTTTGATAGGTTGACTACGCAGTCTATAGGTGTATTGTCTGGTTGTTGTTTTTCTAAACTTGGCTAGCTTGGTTTTGAGGACTCTTCGTCTTTGTTCTCTGTGTTTTCTACTTGACAATGTAATTGCGGTGATCAGCGTTGATAGGTGTTCCTGGTTGAGGGTTTTCTCTAGTTTTTCTTTTTGGACATCTATTATTTGTTGATATTTCTTGATCCGATTATGTGCGTCTGTAATCATTAATTTGACCATTCGCCTTCCACATTGTTCTGCCAATCTCCATCCCATTGGGCAGTTGACTGGTGGTTTGTATCTTACACTGGTCGGTAGGATTTGATGACGAAGGCATTCGTGGAGAAAGAATAATTGTTCTCTGGTGGATTCTTGCCTTTTGGTGAAGTCTTCCCACTTTCGAACAGAGAGAAGCGTTTCCCGCTCGTAAGATTTAGATATGATAGAGAAGATTTGTAGCTCAGGTGGATGATTTTGATGTTGTTGTGTTCTCTGAGCTGGATAGTTAATTTGCGAAGCTTTTATCACCCTACTGGGTGACATCTTCAGCGCATACTTCAAGGTTCAAGCCAAAGAAACAATGAGTGACAATACAAGTAACCTAGAAGGTGTGAAAACAGACAAAAACAACCAATCACGTCCAAGGTCGCCAGGATAGATGATTAATAAACTCGTGGAGAAATCTAAAAGCTCACTTCAAATTGAAGTATGCGCTGAAGATGTCACCCAGTAGGGTGATGAAAGCTTCGCAAATTAACTATCCAGCTCAGAGAACACAACAACATCAAAACCACTGTTACTGAAACTTCAAACCTCTAGCTTGAAGACCTATGTTCCAAACGGAACGTAAAGGAATAAAAAATCTTGTAAAGACAGATTCCAGAAGTATTTGGTAGCGGAATTGTTTATATGTCAGAATGGCATACGGTTATGGCGAAATG